GGTACGCTCTCAGGGCGCGGGATTATTGAGGAAGCTCACTTTCGGGATCTCATGCCGCGCTTGTGGGATCTCACTTTCGGCCCTGACCATGGTCAGGGCCGAAAGTGAGATCCCACAAGCGCGGCATTCGAGGTCGACCGTCGTCGGCCCACAAGTCCATACGCATTTCAGGTCGACCGTCGTCGTTATCGGTCCCTCCGTCCCCGTGGTCGTCGGGGTCGTCGTCTGGGTCGTCGTCAGGGTCGTCCCCGTCGTCCTCGTCATTGTCCCTGGCGCGTGCGATCTCTACCCCCGTAGTTATACATGCTGTAGTGCACAGGATCAAACTCTGGATCTTCGTACCTCGCGTAAATGTCTTCGGGGATCTAGGAATCATCGCTCTCATCACTGAGGTGGGGAGTGGTCATGGTTCGATTTCGGCCACGTCAAAGAGGGGCTAGTTACAGCAACGGTCAATCCCGCCCGCCACTACACTGGTGGCGTCCGAGGCTCAGAATTCTGTCAACGGCTCTTTCTCGGGATGTCCTCACAATAAGTTCAAGCGTTCGCAATAATCCGCCCGCCACTACACTGGTGGCGTCCGAGGCTCAGAGTTCTGTCAACGGCTCTTTTTCGGGATGTCCTCAGAATAAGTTCAAGCGTTCGCAATAATCCGCCCGCCACTACACTGGTGGCATCCGAGGTTCAGAGTACTGTCAACCACTCTCATTCGGAACGTCCTCACAATGAGCTCCAGCGCTTACAATCATCATGTATCACTTGCGTTTTTACATTAAATACCCGAGTAAACATTAATACTAAGAAAACGAAAAAGCAAATTCAAGAAAAATTCAATAAAAATTAATGAAAAATTCAAGAAAAAATCATGAAAAAATCGTGAAACTCAGCGAACACTGAAAAAAATGTGGATCCACAAAAAAAAATGTGGATTCCCCGGAAAAAATGTCGATCCACAAAAAAAATGTGGATCGATAGGAGAAATGTGAATCCACATTTTTTTCTGTGGATTGGATGGTCTGGGCATTTTTCTTTTGAAAATGCTGAATTTCTGCTTCCGGCGCCCGGGAAGCCGTCCGGGCCGATTCCGGAGCTCGGGCCGGCACCCGGCCCGGCTCCCGGGCCGAACGCCCGGGTCGGCGCCCGAGCCGGCGCCCGGGCGCCGGAAAATCGAGTTCCGAGGCGGCGCCGAAAAAAGGCCATTCCAATACACATTTTTCTTTTGAAAATGCTGAATTTCTGCTTCCGGCGCCCGGGAGCCGTCCGGGCCGATTCCGGAGCTCGGGCCGGCACCCGGCCCGGCTCCCGGGCCGGACGCCCGGGTCGGCGCCCGAGCCGGCGCCCGGGCGCCGGAAAATCGAGTTCCGAGGCGGCGCCGAAAAAAGGCCATTCCAATACACATTTTTCTTTTGAAAATGCTAAATTTCTGCTTCTGGCGCCCGGGAGGCCGTCCGGGCCGATTCCGGAGCTCGGGCCGGCACCCGGCCGATCATCGGAGTAATCGGATCCGATTATTCCGATCATTGAATGATCGGAGTAATCAGATCCGATTATTCCGATCATTGAATGATCGGAGTAATCGGATCCGATTATTCCGATCATCCAATGATCGGAATAATCTGATCATTGGATGATCGGAATAATCGGATCCGATTACTCCGATCATTGGATGATCGGAATAATCGGATCCGATTACTCCGATTATTGGATGATCGGAGTAATCGGATCCGATTACTCCGATCATTGGATGATCGGAATAATCGGATCCGATTACTCCGAGCATTGGATGATCGGAATAATCGGATCCGATTTACCCCGATCATGGATGATTCGGAATAATCGGATCCCGATTTTACTCCGATCATTGGATGATCGGAATAATCGGATCCGGTTACTCCGATCATTGGATGATCGGAATAATCGGATCCGATTACTCCGATCATTGGATGATCGGAATACTCGGATCCGATTACTCCGATCATTGGATGATCTGAATACTCGGATCCGATTACTCCGATCATCCAATGATCGGAATAATCGGATCCGGTTACTCCGATCATTGGATGATCGGAATAACCGGATCCGATTACTCCGATCATTGGATGATCGGAATACTCGGATCCGATTACTCCGATCATTGGATGATCGGAATAATCGGATCCGATTACTCCGATCATTGGATGATCGGAATAATCGGATCGATTATTTCCGATCATTGAGTGATCGGAGTAATCGTATCCGAAGTATTCCGATCATCCAATGATCGGAGTAATCGGATCCGATTTATCGATCATCCATGATCGGAGTAATCGGAGTATCGCATCCGATTACTCCGATCCATTGGATGATCGGAATAATCCGATACCGATTACTCCGATCAGTGGGATGATCGGAATAACGGATCCGATTACTCCGATCATTGGATGATCGGAATAATCGGATCCGGTTACTCCGATCATTCAATGATCGGAATAATCGGATCCGATTATTCCGATCATACACACGGGCTTGTGCTCTACTGCGGTTGCATGATCGGAACAATCGATTACGATTACTCCGATCATTCAATGATCGGAATAATCGGATCCGATTACTCCGACCATCCAATGATCGGAGTAATCGGAATAATCGAATCCGGTTACTCCGATCATTCAATGATCGGAATAATCGGATCCGATTACTCTATACATTGGGATGATCGGAACATAAATCGGAGATCCGGTTACTCCGATTCATTGGATGATCGGAAATCGGACCCGAATTATTCCGATCATTGAAATGATCGTAGTAATCGGATCCGATTATTCCGATCATCCAATATTCGGAGTAATCGGATCCGATTATTCCGATCAACAACAACAACGCTCCGGCTCGAGACTTCCTCTTTTTTTACTCGGGATCGGTGCTCTTGCTCGCCGCCGAGAGCGGCTCCCGGGCCGGACGCCCGGGTCGGCGGCCGAGCCGGCGCCCGGGCGCCGGAAAATCGAGTTCCGAGGCGGCGCCGAAAAAACGCCATTCTAATACACATTTTTCTTTCGAAAATGCTGAATTTCTGCTTCCGGCGCCCGGGAACCGTCCGGGCCGATTCCGGAGCTCGGGCCGGCACCCGGCCCGGCTCCCGGGCCGGACGCCCGGGTCGGCGCCCGAGCCGGCGCCCGGGCGCCGGAAAATCGAGTTCCGAGGCGGCGCCGAAAAAAGGCCATTCCAATACACATTTTTCTTTCGAAAATGCTGAATTTCTGCTTCCGGCGCCCGGGAGGGAGGCCGTCCGGGCCGATTCCGGAGCTCGGGCCGGCACCCGGCCCGGCTCCCGGGCCGGACGCCCGGGTCGGCGCCCGAGCCGGCGCCCGGGCGCCGGAAAATCGAGTTCCGAGGCGGCGCCGAAAAAAGGCCATCCCAATACACATTTTTCTTTTGAAAATGCTAAATTTCTGCTTCTGGCGCCCGGGAGGCCGTCCGGGCCGATTCCGGAGCTCGGGCCGGCACCCGGCCGATCATCGGAGTCATCGGATCCGATTATTCCGATCATTGAATGATCGGAGTAATCAGATCCGATTATTCCGATCATTAAATGATCGGAGTAATCGGATCCGATTATTCCGATCATCCAATGGTCGGAATAATCTGATCATTGGATGATCGGAATAATCCGGATCCGATTACTCCGATCATTGGATGATCGTATAATTCGATTAACGATTATTCCGATCATCCAATGATCGGAATAATCGGATCCGATTATTCCGATCATCCAATGATCGGAGGAATCGGATCCGATTATTCCGATATTGGATGATCGGAATATATCGATCCGATTACTCCGATCATTTGGATCGGAAATAATCGGATCCGATACCCCGATCATTTGGCATGATCGGAATAATCGGATCCGATTACTCCTCGGGGCACTGTCGGAAATAATCGATCCGAACGTGCTCTGAGATTTCTCGGCTCGGAGTAATCGATCCGATTACTCCGATCATTGGATGATCGGAATAATCGGATCCGATTACGCCGATCATTGGATGAATCGGAAATACTCCGGATCCGATTACTCCGATCATTCCATGATCGGAAGTAACCGGATCCGAATTACTCCCGATTCTTTGATGATCGGTATAATCGGATCCGATTACTCCGATCATTCATGATCGAAATAAAATCGGAATCCGATTACTCCGATCCTGATGATCGTAAATAATGCGGATCCGATTACTCGCGAGCATCCAATGATCGGAGTAATCGGATCCGATTACTCCGACCATCCAATGATCGGAATAATCGGATCCGATTACTCCGATCATTGGATGATCGGAATAATCGAATCCGATTACTCCGATCATACACATGGGCTTGGTGCTCTACTGCGTTGCATGATCGGCAAATCGGATTACGATTACTCCGATCATTCAATGATCGGAATAATCGGATCCGATTACTCCGACCATCCAATGATCGGAATAATCGGATCCGATTATTCCGATCATACCGGCGCCAGCGAGCGTCGCTAATAACAACAACAACAACAGCAACAACAACAACAGCAACAACAACAACAACAACAACAACAACAACATCTGTATAAACATAGACGCCTGGTGGTCCGCGCGGATTCCATGGATCGGCGCTGGACCCCACCTGTGCGCGGAGCGCGCCCGAGGGGCCCCAGGAGGGACCAGCGCCGACCCCGAGCTACGCGCGGACCTCCGAGAGTCTGTGTGCTTGTGCCGTTTGCTCGTGCTCGAGGGCTTCTGAGGAAGGGCGTGGCCCCTCAAGGGCCACGCGCCCCGCATCCTCTGCCGAGACCCGGAGGGCCTGCTTGGAGGGCCGCCCCGACCCCGTGGCCTCCTCATGCGCGCCGTCGGCTCCCTGTGTGCCCCACGGCAGGAGAAAATTCGCCGGGCAATCACTCCCCACAGCTGTCCTCGTGTGCGTCGTGCGGTCGACGTGTTATCCTTGCCCCAGATCCTGGCCCAACTCTCCAAGGACCCAGGGTGTGTGGATCAATATCTGCCCCCGACGAGACAGGGATCACTCCCCTGCGGCCCAGGGACGGGGTGTGGCAACAGGGGCACGGACAAAACCTCGATCGCCGAATCCTCGTTGGTGTCCGCGTGCTTCGCCAGGCAGAGCCACTGGTAGAAGAAGCTGGTGGAATCGGCGAGAAGCTCTTTCCTGCTCTTGCCGTCGTCGATGTGAGCAGTGGGCGCCTGCTGCGCCGGTTCTTGGTGCATCTGGGCTCCCCCCAAGTAAAGAAGCGGGTCGAACCATGAATCAGGAAGGCGTTGTAAATGGATTGGGTTTCCGCCCGCTACCCTCTCAAGAAGAAGGAAAAGGAAAGCCACTCTATGACTGGAGTAGGAAGGCGCCTCCAGTAGCTCGGAATCTGGGGATCCCAAAGTACCGACTTTCAACGACCGATGGGTAAGCATAAACTTTCGGAGGTCCGGGCAGATTTCTCGAGCCTACCTGCATGGTGATGAAAGGCAACTCCTCCCCGTTGAAGCGCACCTTGAAATTCGCGAATTCCTCCTCGTTGCTCTCGTCCTCGATCGAAGCCATGGGTTGCCACTTATCCGCCTTGGGCTTCCGCCAGCGCCCCAATGGGGCACTAAAGTAGCAGCACTCACTCAGCGTCCAGACAATAATTCACCGAATCATGCACGATCGATTGCGGGTGCGTCCAGGGATGAACGATCCCAAATGGCCCCGAGCAAGCCGCAGATTCGCCACCGCGCTGTGCGTCGGGCATCCTGATTCTGCTTCCGCATCTTTCGACAATTCTGTTCGGTGGAGCCTTCTCCCCCCCCCCCTTGCCGCCCCCCTTCCCCCCTCCTCACAACGAAGTGGCGGACACGCACGGCAAGCGCAACCAAGCAACAGCACAGAGCGCCACAGGTCTGGACAGAATCCTCTGAGGTCTTTGGCAGGTGATGCGTGCGGCAGTGGCTGAAGCCCCTCAGAGTTTGTTCACCTCGATGCCAGCCTGCACGGTTTTTCTCGGGTCCGTCATGTCGATCTCGACTTCGGCCTCCTGGCTTGCTACTCTTTCCGGGGCAAACGCCTTCCTCTGGCGCCGCTCAGGGCCGCGGGGAGGCGGAGGAGATGGAGGAGCATGAGGAGGAGGAGGAGGAGGAGAATGAACAGAAGAAGGGCAGAACATGTGTCCTTGCTTTTCATGTTGAGGAGCTCGCACCCGCTGGTCTCGTCCATATAGCATTTGCAATACTCCGACTCGTAGGCGCACAGCGCATAACTGACCATGCTGCTCCCATAGCAGAGACTATGCTCCTTGTCCTTCTCCATACAACCTGGGTGAGGCGCGGAGCAGCAGCATGCAATCAGGAGGGTGGAGTGGAAAACGCGCCATCGCTCGGACGTCCATCCCCGTGCGAATTCGATGTCGTGCGTGTTTTGTGTCGTTGATGGTCCTCGCCGAGGAAAAATGCACACGTTCGAGCGATGCCCAAAAAAGGAATCCAAGGGGAATGCGAGGAGCTGAGTATAGTAATGACAACGAAGGAACATCAGAGCACGGGCAGAAGCAGGAGGATGAGGACAGTCGGAGGGAGCGAAGAGGTACCACTGCGTAGTATGAGGCCCAGGTTGAGGACCAACGTGTTGCCAACTGTGGCTCTCTCGCGACGCGTGGAGATCTACGGGAATCCGGGCGCTCCCTCAGACGAAGCTGGAACGAGGACAAGATCGGGTGAGGATGAACTGAGAACCTCTGGGCTCCAGCGGCCCCGGGGGATGTCTCGGGCGCCGCAGCCTCCTCAGAGCGCTCCGGAACGCTCCGAGACGGATACTTCTCCTCGTCCCTGGCCCGTCCGGCCCCCCTTCGTCTGACCCCGTGGGGCCGTTCGGCTCGTCGCCGGACAGCTTCTTCTGCCGCGCCAGTGCCTCGGGCCATGGAGGCCACGACCAACGACCACGGGCGGCGACGACGACCGCGGCGACGACCACGGCGACGGCGACGGCGACGGCGACGACGACGACGACGACGACGACAAGGGCCGTCTGCATCAAGCTCGTGCCCTCGGTCCCGACCATCATGAACCACGTCGCCGTCTCGGCTCTCGACCTGAGACCCAACGGGGGAGAGCACTCAACCGGCCACGTCCGCGTCTGCGACATGGCATCTGCGTCGCATTCCCCCTCCTCTTCCTCCGCCTCCGTCCGTCCCTCCTCCTCCATCTCCAGCTCCATCCTCGAAATTCATCCGCGTCCATCTGCTCTCGAGCCTCTTTTCCCTCCCCCCCCCCCTTCCTCCCCCGTCCCCCCCTCCCTCCGTCTTTTCCCTCCTCTTCCCAAGCCCTACCTTTACCATTCTCCTCTTCCACAGCCCGGCAACTACTTCCTCTCTACGGCTTGCTTGGCATCCCCGGTTCTCCCTGCCTTGCTTCTCTCGGATTTTCGACTTGCCCTCGACAAGTACAATATGCTTTACGTCCTATTCTTTTCCACCCTCCCCTCACAGTGGCCTACATCGACTCCCACCAAACTAGTCCAGACAGAAAAACATTAGAACGATATCGGGAGCCCCGCCCCCCCCCTCCCCCCCCTCCCTATCTGAAATACAGCCGGCTCCCAACCTCGCTCATGTCGCTCACCACAACCTACGCTCCTCCCTCCGCCGCCGGCTCTCCTCCATCACACTCCCTCCCCTCCTCCCCTCTCCTCTACACGTCTCTACCTCCCGCTCCCTCCTCCCTTCCTGCCTGGCTCGCCACATTGCCCCTGCGCTCTCCCTCTCCTCCTCCTCATCCTCTTCCTCCTCATCCTCCTGCTCCTCCTCCTTCTCATCCTCCTCCTCTTCCCCCCGCTCCTCTCCATCCCTCGTCCCTCACTTCCCAACTCCGCTTTCCCCCTCCGCTTCCGCTCCCATCCTCCTCCAGCTGCTGCTGATTCTTGCGCCCAGAATCCCCCAAGATACCGAGCAACAAGGACACGCCACGCGAGAACGTTGTGGCGCTTGTCTTAGATGGTTCCGACATGGCTGCACCTAGCCTGGTCGGCAAAGCTGGGTTGGACCATCATGAATGCATGTTAATTGCTCGTTGGCTTGGCGCTTGCCGCATAGAACAAGGTAAATCTGAACTCGGATGATAAGAACGTAAGTGATCGACCCTCCCACGAAACATCTGTTTGCTGCTGAGGATCAGGCGAATTGGAAGACGAAGGGTATAGGTGTGACCCTGCGAATGGAAACAAAAACAAATGGGTATACGAAAGATGGGCCATGACGTGTTACGATCCCGTGACGGACTTGTAGTAGAAGCCCTTGAAAGCCACGCCCTTCTCTTCAATGTCCTCCCACCAACTGTCCAACGAGCGGAACATAACCGTGTGGAGGTCCAAAGCAACGCCGCCATTTCGAGCCAAGAGAGCATTAATCGCGGCGTCTCTCTTGTACACCGGGTTTTTGAGGGTCTCCCAACCAGTCGGCAGATCCCCTTCCGTAATGTACTCTTTGACGTCGCCCTGGTTGAGGAGCTTGAAATCGAAACTTCCCTTGTGCTGCTCGATCGTCTCCTTGCAGAGCTGCTGAAACGGGCTCAGCTCGCCGTCGTGGTATGCCCATATGATCTTCTTCGCTTGCACAGGGTCGTAATCAATAATTACGTCATCACCACCATCTGGGGGAGCAAACAGGTACCAATACTGCTACCCCAGAACTTTCCAAGGGGGCGTTCTGACCAGGATTCCGAAGCGAGTCCCGTCGCGGCGACCAAGGCCCCCAAGACGCCCCGACAGTGCAACACACGGGATGGACAGGGGGGATCGGTACCCGTATCGCTGGCATGAAGCAAGCGGGGCCAGACGGAGCCGGGTCCTGAACTTCAGGGACATCCTGCAGCATGTTCTGACCGTCCCAAGGCTCGCGGAAGGCCCCAGAAGCACGGAGATTGCCGGAGAGCCTCGCGGAGCCGTTCCCCTCCAGGCCCCCATCCTCCATGCTGGATACGTCTGCCTCCTTTGACCACCAATGCCACCACTGGGCGTGTCACCGCCCGGTGGGGTGCTGCCACCACTGGGCTGCAGAACCAAGACGAGCGCAATGACGAGGACGGCCGGGCCGGCCGAGACGAGCCGAGGGGAGCGGCGGCGGGATCGGAACACGTAAGCTCGGCACTGGGCGGAAAAAGGGGGGGGAATCTGGCTCCGACCTCTGCTCAGTGCAACTGTTTGGAACCGTGCGTCCTCTGGGGGAGACTCGACCAGCTACTCCATGGGGGGGGGGGCGGGAGGGGGGGTTGGGGGGCCCGCGCCGATCGGCAAACCAATGAATCAAGAAACGCGCGCATGCCATGGGGTCGTCCATCCTTGATAGGGATGCGTCCGAATAGCCCCCTGGGACTGTGTCCCCGCGCTTGCACGGGGAGTGGGGGCTCGACAAGGTGCCCGCGCGGGGACCGGCCGAGATGGCCAGAGGTCCATGAGGGGCAACGACAGGGGGGGACTGGCATAGGGGGGGATGCATCGATCTGGAATCGGCGTACATCGCCCATAGAACGGCGATAGGCCCCCAATAGTGAATCCTCACCTTCCTGTGCAGGTTGGGGCTATCGGGCCCTTATCGGCGATCAATGGGCGATTGGGGGCCGATGCATATCCCCCCCTATCGGTGCCCCTGACTCCAGGCTGAAACGGCCGAGGGAACGGCCATGGGGATCGGAGGAAGTCCGAGGCATCCCGAGAAAAGCCCGAGGACGAAACGGGAGGCGATCCGAACACCGCTTGTCCTCTACTCTGCTCGTTCGCACGAGGAGACCAGACACCCCTGCGCGAAGTGAAGCTCCCCAAGCGGTGCTTGCACTCCGATCTTCTTGCTTGGGCGACTCCAGGCATATATTCATACATCTATATATAGTTATATATATGTATGTGTGTATATATAAATTATGTATTCATACATATATATATACATATATGTATATACATATATATATATATATATATATATATATATGTATGGTCGGTTGTTTGTGCCAGGCTTTCGGCTGGTGCCCTGATGGTAGGCGCCCGAGGTCGCCTCGTGGGCGCCTCGTGCGCCGGGTGGGCGCGCCGAGGCCTCGCCGAAAAGTGCCCGCCCGCAGGGCACCCCGCGGGCGCCTCGTGCGCGGGGCGGGCGCGCCGAGGTGCCGCCGAAAAGTGCCCGCCCGTGGCCGCCGCGTGCGCCAGCGAGGCGTCGCCGAGGTGCTTTCGCCCCGGGTGCCCGCGCGCGTGCCGCCCGCGGGCGCCTCGTGCGCTGGGCGGCCGCACCGACGACGGCGCTCAAGAGCTCGCACCGCACAGCCTGCACCCGCACAGCCTGCACCCGCACAGCTTGAGCCCGCACAGCCTGAGCCCGCACAGGTTGCACCGCACAGCCTGCTCGGCATAGCCTGCACCACATGGCTTGCACCGCACATCTCTTGCACTGCCAAGCTTGCACCACATGACATGCACCACATCACTTACACCACGTAGGGTGCACCGCATAGCTTACATCACATAGGTTGAACCGCATAGCTTGTACTGCATAGCTTACGCAACTCAGTTTTGGCCACGTAGCTTGAACAACTCAGGTTACAACACATGGCTTGCAGCACGTAAGTGCCATAACGTACTGCTCGGGGTCCACGCTGGCAAACACCAGACAAATACAAACGCGCGGCAAAGGGACAAAAACAACTCAGCGCGAGAATGAGGCGCTTTTGCCATAGCTTTTGAGCGGGATGAATCCAGCGCCCCTAGCAGACTCTCGACGAGTTGCAGCGCCAGGAGCATATCTTTCCACGACACTTTATACAGACATCAAACAATGCGGATCCAACAAAAACGCGGTGGCCTACGGGACAACCCCGACCAACCCCCAACAATCCTAGACAATCCTGCTCACGGAAATTCTCTGCCGAAGTAATGGGGGTCAAATCCCGCTGGCCGCCGAACATGACAATTCCGCCCATGAATTACCGCGGCTCGAGGACGGGGGGTGGGAGTAATTTGCCACCGACGGCGAACAGGTCGAAAGCCGCCCACAAAGCATCGACTAGGCTGGCCCGGGATGAGGCCAATGCCCCCGCCGGCGGCCGCTATCTGCCACTTCTCCACTGGCGGAGATCCTCCGGGGGCGCACCACCCTTCTTCTCCTCACCTGGCTCCCAGCCTTGCTCTTTCTCATCCTCGCCCTCCCCTCCACACCGCAGAACACGCTGCCGACTAATAGACTATGAGCACATGTTCACCGATCCTGGCGGATCAGACCTTTCCTCGGCCCAGGGTCGGTGTGATCCACCAACCCCGGACTGTGGGCCTGGCCAAGATCTATGTCTAAATAGGTGGAATCAATAGCACTGGGTCGACATCCGCCACCGCGCTCGCTGAGGTTGGCGTGTGCCGTACCCTTTGCTCATTTGTTAGCTCCGCTCCCTACACTGTAAATCATCAAGGCTCCCTGTCGCATCGAGCCCAGCATGCGCCCCCGCGTCTTTGCCTTTCTGCGCGGGGGGTCCATGGACCTCATCGCGGTCCTGCGCCAGCACTTTTCCTAGGCACCCCCCGAGCGAGGGGGCGGATTTGCACGGCAGCGCACACTGGACATCGCAAGTTCGGGGCCGAGGCCGACCCATGTGGAACGCAGTGACCCTAGACTGGGAAATCGATCTCGCTTTCGGCTCGGGTCGTGCTCGCGCGCGAGGCGAAACCACGCAAGGGGGTGGCGGACTCGCCATCGTCGTGCTCAGTGACATCTCCCTTACTGTCCACTGTCTTCACCACGTCGTATGCTCTGCAAGCTTGAAGATCTGAATCGAACTGTACTTTCACGGGGCTACCAGTTACACGACGCTGTTGATATTAGTGAACGAGCAATACCAATGCGTTAATAAACTAGCGCAGATACATGTACAGGGTGGAGGCGGGCCTGCGAGCAGCCTGACATCACCATGACAACCATGACCACCATCGCAATGAGTTCCCTCTGTGTGGCGGAGAGGGGGATGATCAAGGCGCTCCCCCTTGGAGGTGGGGCCGTTTTGTTGCTAAAGCGGGGCCGTGAAGCACGGGAAATGGGGCATCCTCCTCCCCCCCCCGCAGCCTCCCTCCGCGAGCAGGCGGAGGAGGACGAGGCGGCGGAGGCACGGGAGAGGGCGCGCGCTCCTCGCTCGGCGACACGGGTGGCAAAAGAGTGGGGCCAGCGCGCTGCCGTGGGGAGATCGGTCGAGAGGGACGCCCGCTGCGCCCAGGTGCACCACGGCACCCCACCTCGCGCGCCGCGCCCCGCGGTGCTCGACGCGCGGGCATGCTCGCGCCCGCGCCAGGCCACCGCGGGAAGAGAAGCAGCTCTCCAGCCCAGCCCGCGACGCGCGGTGGCCCCTGGGCGTGGCCCGGGTGCACGGGCCGTGGTCCAGGGGCCATGCAAAGGGTTCCAGGCCAAAGGAGCCTCCGTCCCCCCCCCCGAGGCCGCGACGCCCTGTCGCGAACCGAAAACGGCCAGTTTGCTAATCGGCGTGTCAGGTTAGGAGGTCTATCAACCTCCGAGAAATTTGCGCGGACCTCCGAGTTTTTATTCCCCAAACAGCTTGTTGAACGGGATGCTCTTGTGATGGAAGCTAACTCCGGCCGAGGGAAATTAAAGCAGAGACGTCAACAACAAAAATGTGGTGGTCTGGGCCGTTTCGCCTTAGACATCCTCGCAACTCTGGCTTCTGAGTTGTCCGGGATTGGGCGTTTCGCCTGAGACATCCTCCAAACTCTCAGTTCCCAGATGCCGCGCAAGAGGTGGTCTGGCGCGTTTCGCCTGAGACATCCTCCAAACTCTGAGCTCCTAGATGCCGCGCGAGAGGTGGTCCAGCCCGTTTCGCCTGAGACATCCTCCAAACTCTGAGCTCCCAAATGCCGCGCGAGAAGTGGTCCGGCCCGTATCGCCTTAGACATCCTCAAAACTCTGAGCGTTGAGATGCCGTGCGCGAGGTGGTCCGGCGCGTTTCGCCTGAGACACTCTCGCAACTCTGAGTTCTGAGATGCCGCGCAAGAGGTGGTCCAACCCATTTCGCCTGAGACGTCATCGAAACTCTCGGCTCCGAGATGCCGCGCAAGAGGTGGCCCGGCCCGTATCGCCTGAAACATCCTCCAAACTCCGAGTCCTGATATGCCGTGCGCGAGGTGGTCCAGCCCGTTTTGCCTTAGACATCCTCGCAACTCTGCGCTCTCTGATGCCGTGCGAGAGGTGGTCTGGCCCGTTTCGCTTGAGACATCCTCCAAACTCTGAGCCCCGAGCTGCCGCCCAAGAGGTGGTCCGGCCCGTTTCACTTGAGACATCCTCGCACTTCTGCATTCCGAGATGCCGCGCGAGAGGT